TTGTCCGACATTCCCTGCATAGTTTTATCTTTTTTGTACTTTATCTCCACTGCTCTTTAAGCTGAATTTGGCCTGACGCACCTCTTCGTTTGCGTTAGTGGCCGCTGCAACTCGGTCGTCCATCGCATGGATTGCGGATTTCCTTGCCCCAGTCGAGTATAAGCTGCTGTCTTTCTTTTCCGCTCTAATCAACGCGTGAAGAAACTTTGTGTTGAGGTTTGGCCTTCTTGCATGCTCAACGTCTCAATCAGGACGTTGACAGGAGGAGCCACCGCATTGACCAGCCTATGGAGGTTGACAAAGAGCTTCTCATCCTGTAGCTGGACCTCCGGCCTTTGCCGGGCATCCGCTGAAGCCGAGTTGTATCGGTCTCCTAGCTCCGTCGGTTCCTCCTCCGGCAAGCGTCGCAGACTGTTGAGGGCTGCTTCTCCTTCCGCCCGAGTTCGTCGGGAGCGCAATGCCGAAGCCAAATGCGGTGCGATGTCAGATATCGACTTCAGCGCGCCGGATCCCTCTCCGCGTAGAGCCGTGAGAATCCACTTCTCTGCCTTTGCGTGTTCAAGAAACGCACTACTCTCTCCCAGAAGTTAGAGGGCTCCTGGAACTGTGACCGCAGGGTAACGCTTGTGAATGATGCGGTTTCCCTTCACGCTAAAGGTGGCCCATCGTCTCTCCGCAGCATTGCTTCCCAGGTCACATCCTGACTGTGTCTCAGCGGTTAAGTCGTGCTAGGCTGCACGAATATAGGTCACCTCGGTGTCGATGAGTTGGTGTGCGGCAAATTCCTTCTCACTTGTGACCGGATTTCTCGTTGGAATACTAAAAGCCGATCGGTGCTCATGCAAAATCCCTTCCACCTGCGAGCGAACGACTGCTTGCTCCATTTCTGTCAGCGACGCGATGTAACTCTTGCTCAATACCCGCTCCCAAGCCCTCTCCTTCGTGACGAGCATGTCTTGTTGGAAAAATCGAGTTGTCAGGGGTCCTGGGAAAAGCCGCTGCGCCTCTGGAAGGAGAAAGACCTCCTTCCAGTCCCCATGACGGTACTGGGGGATGTTGGTGTCGTACTTCTCATAGATATCGCGCAAGGACGCCACCCAGGGGACGGATCGGCTCTCCATGTTCCAGAGCAAGGCCAAGAGGCCTCCAGGGCGAAGCACGCGGTGGATATCTCGAAGGGCGTCTAATGTGCTCATCCAATGGAACGCTTGGGCGATTGTCACGGCGTCGAAGGACTGATTACGGCAAGGGATCTTGTCTGCCGTACCTGGCAGGCATGGGATCTCGGGAAGCTTTTGCTGAAAGACCTCTCGCATCGCCAACACCGGTTCCACAGCGACAACGTGAAATCCTCTGCGCTTGCTTATTAAACAGGTAAACTTGCCACCGCCCGCTGCTAAGTCCAGTACATTTGTACTTTTCCCCAGATCTCTCTTGCTTAATCCGATAAGTTTTGCTACGTAGTTCACGGCCGCTACAGGATAAGATGGCCGGGTCCTCTCGTATCCCTCCGCCTGCTTTCGGAAGCCTGCAGCCGCAACATCGTGTATCTCGCGAATATAGACCCTTGGAATTATGAACCCAACACTTGAGGTCAAATTTAATTCCAGCCGCCTTCTTCTTATTTTTAAAAAAAGCATGCTTGATGGCGAAGTAAATGGGAAAGAAAGGTAAGGAATATGGTTGGAATGAATTTTACGCATCTTTCGTCTTGAACCATTTCATCCAGGCTATATTGCGCGTTTCCAGCCAAAATTGATCGTGTTATAAAATCTGTTGCTAAATAGTCCACTTTTTATGTTTTCGAGCGGAAGTTTGGTCAGGCTGAAACAGTGAGAGGGTCACATTCCTTGTTTTGGCGATGCCGGCCATGGGGTTGATGTCTTTTTCCCTGAGATGATCAAAACCTCACGTGCACGACTTCTCAACACCAGAGGTTTGTGCCCGGAGGTTTCATGAACATTTGGTTCTATCATGGAAGAGTTTGATTGCGGGATTGATTTGATCGAAGTGACTTCTCAACCTCCCCACCTCCGTCAACCACTACCTCCTCACCCTCCACAGGTCCATATAGGATGGCGTCTTTGTCCTCTTTTAGGAGGATAGATCGACCAGTAACGACATCAGTACCAAAACAATATGATATCTCTTCATCAATTCCTACAGTTCCACCTAGAGCACCGGGCACGAAGCCTTGGATAAATGGCAACACCCTAATTTCGTCGGGGAACAGGGACCTGGACAGCGTCTTGGGGGGGGGAATATGTCTGGGCACAGTGACGCTTGTTGAAGAGGATCGCTTTTCGGACCATGCCTTGGTTTTATCGAAATATTTTCTTGCTCAGGGCGTAAGTGGAATGCATCAATGCCTGGTGATAGGTGCTGAGGGCAGTAAGGCGGCGCTTCAAAAGACTTTCGTTGTCCAGCTTCCATTTGATCTAACGTACAAAAAAAATCAGCAAGAGCAACAAGAGCGAGAAGACAGACCATGTACAGGAGGAAGCGATCCATCGTCCGCTCTACCGACGGGGCCCCTGTCCACCTTCTCCAGGGAAATGGGCGACTCGTTGCCCTCGGTGGGGGGGCCGCGCCATGACCCCCTGAGCATCGCGTGGCAGTACCGGAAGTACATCAACACACCGACACCGCCCCCAAGAGGATCGGCTCCTACCGCACCCGCTTCCTCCTCATTTTGCAACAGCTACGACCTGAGCCGAGACATTCAGCCGGAAGTTCTGGCAGCGGCAGCGCCGCCGGTGGTGGTGGATGTGAGCGAAGAGGAAGAAGGGCAGCAAGAGCCCTCCTCCGCATGCTCTCGCGTGTATCAGTCGGTGGCTAGTGCCATCAAGTCCCTTCCAGAGAACACTGTTCTTCGCGTGGTCATCAAGTCCTTTTTGACCAAGACGGGCGCCTGGGCGTCGGCCCACGAGGGAGAGCCCCTCCTCCTCCTCCATTCCCTGCGCCGGCTCATCCGCCATCACCCTGTGGCCATTTTTGTGACCCTCTCCGCCCACCATATCCCACAGCGCCAGCGCCGACTCCTCGCGCGCGTGGCAGACACGGTCCTAGAGCTACAGTCCTTCGCTGGGCACCGGCATCGCACGGCCCCCGAGTTCGAGGCCTTCGCCGGCTTCCTCCATATCAAGGCACTGCAGCATCTGAATGCGTTGGCTCCTATCAGGGGGCCGTCCAACAAGCTCGGCGTGAAGCGGGACCGGCGAAAGCTGCACATTGAGCCGCTCCACCTCCCCCCCGAGGGAGTGCGGACCTTGACGGAGGACGTGGAGATGCAGAAGCGGGGGAGGAGGAGGAAGGAGGAGGAGGGGGGGGGGGACCGGGGGGAGGAGGGGAAAACCGGCGGTCTAGTCCCGGGGATGATGTGTGCCACGAGCGGGCGGGGCGGGCATGGCGCGTCGCTCGACTTCTAGAGAGAGGATCGACGCATGGGCACAGAGGAGAGGGGGGGGAGGCTCTTACGCTGCGGGCTTGAAAAGAAGGCAGAAGGTGACTTGCGGGTATGAATGTCAGGTGGTTTCTTTTTCCATGATCGCATAATTTACACGAACCCCGCGCGGCACGCACGGTGTGCTCAGGTTCCCCCCTCTATGTCACACCGACTCCCTCTCCCAGCCCCCCGCACTCCCACATTCCAAAATATTTGCCGGCTGCTGCTCATTGTCACGCAAACCCCTGGTCCTCCTCCCCCCCTTTCCTCGCCACCCAGGGCGACCTCACAGACCCATTTCCCTCTTCAGCCTCTGGAGCTCCTCCTCCACGTTCCCCTGTGCCCGGGGCCCGCCCCCCGACGCCGACGAGGAGGAGGATGGCCCCGCATCTCTCCCCCCCACCCTCTCCCCTCTCTCCCCCGTATTGCTCCGAGAACTTGCGCTTCCTTTCGTTCCCGGCGACGCATATTTCGAGTAAGCGGACCTTCCCCCCGCCCCCCACCTCAACTCCTCTGCGCGCAGCATCAGCCGCCGCTGCCGCTTGTCCGCCCGCTTCATGTGCCCCTCTAAGTCCTTCACGCGCGCCTGCGTGGCCGCCACTTTCTCCACCGCCTCCAGCTGCCGGTCCACACCTTCGAGGTCCCGGGCCGCGGCTGCTTGCAGGGTCCTGAGCTTGCCTTGCGCGACCATCACGTCGATCTTTGCCTGCTGCTGCTTCTCCCGGAGCTTGGGGATCAGAAAGTTCAGGTTCTCGATCTCGTCCTGCACCAGCTGCAGATCCTCGCCCTTCAAAATCTCTTCAAACTCCGCGTCGCTCTCCTCGCTGAACCCGTCCACGTTGCTCTCCAGGAAGCTAACCACGTCCTCAAGGAAACTCCGCCCTCCATTGCTCCCTACGTTACCCACGAAATCTCGGAATATGCTGCTGAAACTGTCGTCTATGCTCTCCGCAGTCTCCTCGTTCGCGCCCGGCGCACCCCCCCCGAACGGACCATATTGGTCGTACCACCCTCTCGAGGAGGAGGAGGAAGAGGAGGAGGCCGTGCCCCGCCCACCCACGTTAGTCCACCGCCTGCCCCCACTGCCAAACCCTGACCCTTGCATACCCCTGGCCAGGTCGTATCCCTTGCGGGCCTCGGCGTCCGAGAGCACCTTGTAGGCCTCACAAACCTGCTTGAAGGTCTCGGCGGCGTCGGGGGCCTTGTTCACGTCGGGGTGTGTCTGCAGGGCCAGCCGTCGGTATGCACGCTTAATATCGTTGAGTGAGGCCGATTTGTCGATGTCAAGGCGGGCATAGTAATCCTTTTTTACGTCGAATTTCACGCGCATCGCTATCGCCCCCACACGCTGTGCTGCACGACGGGGTCGTGCACAAAGCTGGGGCCCCATAGTGCCTGCCGACGAAGCGGCTCTGAAGTTGTGGAGCTGACATTTCCCGCTGTACACCAATGGCACGAAAGCGTTGGCCAAATAATTGAGATGGCACCATGTTGGACTGATGACAACGAGGAAGAAGGCAGAACCGAAGCAGCAAAGGTTTGCAGCATGAAGCGAGGTCAAAAGGGTACTTTTACGCTTCCGCCGTGAAAGCTCGTGATCTCCTCCTGTCTTCACAGACGGCATGTACACTACGGCGGAAAACCTATCGACCGGTTGTCGTGTGAGTACGGCAGGCGCGTCAGTGCAAGGAGCGGGGGCCTGAGGGGGGAGGTCGGCGAGGGCGGCCAAAGATACATCCTGCGCTCAGACCCTTTGTCCTGGCAATGTCAGCGTACTTTGTGAAGACAAAGCACGTTACGATGGTATATGTGGTACTCTCTATGGTAAATTTTCTGTGTCTGGCCTGTCCATCAAAAAGTTGTGGGCAACCTTTCACTGGATCGACCTCTCCCCTCCGAGTCACTGCCCATGGCCACTCAAGCGACCCCTCACGTCTTCTCATGCCCGTGACTTGCGCATTCACAGGGCTGCACGTCATGGGTAAACATAAAAAGCTGCAGCAGCAGCAGCGACAGCACCAGAAAAAAGTAGCCAAAGTAACCAAAACGCTGACGCAACCCAAGGTCAAGGCCTCAAACAAAGCGCAGCGCAAGGAGCTTGAGGCCCGGATGGCCCGATGGACAAAAGACCAGAAAGAAGAGGCCGCAAACAGACGGACTGAGGAAGAGTTGAATGAAGAGGAGTCTGACGGGGAGGAGATGCAAGAAAATGGTGTAATAGAAAGAAATCCGTCCGCCAGTGAGGAGGAGGAGGAGGAAGCAGAGGGGGAAGTGGACGGTGAGAAAGAGAGTGAGGAGGAGGAGGAGGAGGAGGAGGAGGAGGAGGAGGAGGGAAGGGGCGGAGGAGGGAGGGGGAGGAGGAGGAGGAGGAGGAGGAGGAGGAAGTCGAAGTCGATCAAGAAGGAAGAGAGGCAGGGGAGGCTGAAGATAATGGTTATGATGAGCAGCGCTCCCGTGTAAATACCAAACGCAAGCATCTACCCTCATCCTCCGAGGCCAAGAAGGTGAGGAAGGGCGTGGACGAAAAAAGTGGAACGGCATTGCCCGAAACGCCGCGTCCGGAAGCGGGCTCTGGGGAAGGGAAGGGCAGTGGGGGCGGGGCGGGAAAAAGCGGGGCCGTGTTCTTTGCCAACCAGCCCTTTGAGGACCTGCCAATATCGGACGCGACCAAATGCGCCCTCAAGAGGCTCCGGTTCGTGAAGATGACGCACATCCAGTCCCTGGCGATCCCCCCCCTCTTGGCTGGCAAGGATGTGGTGGCCGCGGCGAAGACCGGGTCGGGTAAGACGCTCGCCTTCCTCGTCCCGGTCGTCGAGCTCCTTTCCAAGATGAAATGGGCGGCTCGGAACGGGACGGGTGCGATAATCATCTCCCCGACGCGGGAGCTCTCCATGCAGATCTACGGCGTGCTCCGCGACCTGTGCGATGAGGGCCGGCATCCCCTCACCCACGGCCTCATCATGGGCGGCGCCAACCGACGCGCCGAGGCGGAGCGGCTGGTGAAGGGAGTGAGTATCCTGGTGGCAACGCCGGGCCGGCTCCTGGACCACCTGCAGAACACGAAGGGGTTCTTGACCCGGAACCTGCAGCTCTTGGTCATCGACGAAGCGGACCGCATCCTCGAGCAGGGCTTCGAGGAGGACATGCACCAAATCATCAAGAGCCTGCCCAAGCACAGGCAGACGATGCTTTTTAGCGCCACGCAGACCAAGAAAGTAGAGGACTTGACGCGGCTCTCCATGCAAGGTCGGCCCGTCTTTGTGGGCGCGCACGAGGAGGCAGCCGTCGCCACCGTGGGGGGCCTGGAGCAGGGCTACGTGGTTTGTCCATCCGACAAGCGCTTCCTCCTTCTCTTCACCTTTTTGAAGCGGAACAAGCAGAGGAAGATCATGGTCTTCTTCTCATCCTGCAACTCGGTCAAGTTCCATGCGGAGCTGCTCAACTACATCGACCTCCCCGTCATGGACATCCACGGCCGGCAGAAACAACAGCGTCGAACAACCACGTTTTTCCAGTTCTGCCGACAGGACAAAGGTATCTTGCTCTGTACGGACGTTGCGGCCCGAGGCTTGGACATACCGGCCGTGGACTGGATCATCCAGTATGACCCTCCAGACGACCCGCGTGAGTACATCCACCGTGTGGGCAGGACGGCGCGCGGGGCCGCGGGGAAAGGCCGTGCTTTGCTGTTCTTGACAGCAGAGGAAGTGGGCTTTCTGAAGTACTTGCGCGCGGCCAAGGTTGCCCTGAACGAGTACGAGTTTCCGGAAAAGAAGGTGGCGAACGTCCAAGCCCAGTTGACCAAGCTGGTCGAGAAGAACTATTACCTGAACAAGTCGGCCCGGGATGCCTATCGATCATACCTCCTAGCCTACGCGTCGCATTCGCACAAGGATATATTTAACGTACACGAGCTCGATTTGCAAGCTGTGGCCCGCGCTTTCGGGTTCTCGGTGCCCCCCCGCGTCGACATAAATCTAAGCAGCAAAGGTCCAAAAGGCCGATTGAAAAACACACATAAGGACAAGCGATTTGGGAGTACCGGGCACAAGTTTTCCGCCAACAATCCTTACGGAAGGCGCGAAGCGGGGGACTCGCGACAGTTCACGCGATGAAACACGTGCAGAGGGCGAACATCTCGAGGAGAGGGGCGCGCCGGCGGAGGGATAGGACGCGATGGATTACGTCGTGGGACGTAATTTTAGGGAAAAAGAACCAATAGACTGAACATCACGTTTCCCTCATCTCTTTTTGTTGTATTTCTCGAAGTATTAAACGCAATCTACATCACTCAAAAAACCTCCCCACCCTCTCCGGGTGTCTGGAGCGAACACGCTCCAGGCCCTCTTTCACGCTCGCTGGCCACCCACCGCCTTATCACATTTCTGAATATGATGCGATTCCTGAAAGTGAAAGCACTCACTGTAGCATCATTTTTTTGTGTTCACAGCATTTTGCACGGCTTCATTAAACCGGCGGTCCATGGACGAATCGGCGCGGGCGTCGCCACGGAGGTCATAGGCCCTTGGTGCCGCCTCTCGAGAGGGGAGCGCACAAGCCACAATTTTCTCAGCCTCTCCCAATATTGAAATTATCATCTGGGCAGTTGTACATTTATATTGAACTCGGGACGGAGAGGCCGCAGGTTCCGTCGTAAAAAGCAGCGCTTGGCCAAGGCGCTCTACAACGAAGCCTTCACACACCATGGAGAGTAACAAATTATGCAGCCCGGAGGACCTGGAAAACTTCAAACTTTTCCTTTCTGCGGAGTTAAGTCGATTACGGATTCCCGAAATCAAGCACATGGTGATGCGCTTGCACTTACCTCGGTCGGGCAATAAGTCTGAGTTGGTTTCACGCCTCGTAGCTCAGTTTGAGGCCTTCAACCATCCAAAAACTCTATTTCAGAGGGATCAGCTCATTGAGCTGATACGCCAGCAGCTGATAGCATACCAGGGTTTTTCTCGTCTACCGGAGCTCTTCAGTAGCACGGGTGGGGAGGACGCGGCAGCCGCCGGTAGCAATGGGGTTTCCGGTGCCGTGCCCCCGTTCGCCCCTGTGGGCGGGGAGGGAAATTTGGGGGAAAGGGCGCCGGTCCCGTTCACGTTTCGCCTGAACGTCGGAGCAGGCAATGGAGGAAATCCAAGTGGATGGCCGGGGAGCGCTCCTGCCTCCGCTTCGGGCTCCTTGGCCGCGCTAGGGCGACAGCAAGGGGGGCCTGGCGGGCCTCACTCGGCGCCGGCTGGGAAGCTTGCTGGAACGTTTGTGCAATGCGTGTGCGGGCAGGCCGTGACCCCCTGGGATGAAGTGAAGTGCGCAGAGTGCCACATCGCCTTCCACGACCAGTGCTACGGTACCTCCATGCGCGCGCGCAACAAGACGTTCTCAGCCGCCTGCTTTCTCTGCCTGTCCCGCAGGCAAAACCCATTTCTGGAGGTGGTGGAGACCTTGGTGCCGCCATCACGCGTGACGAGTCGGGCAAGGATGGAGACAAATTTTCAATTCAAATTGAGCCACCAGCAGCAGCGAGACATGCTGGCCTCCCGGCAGGGCGGTTCTCGAAATGAAGGGTCTCTGCAGCTGCTCGTGCGCTGTTTCCCTCTAAATCTCCTGGAGACGGCCAGGCCCTCTCCGGCACACGACGAGGGCAAGCTCCCCTTCTATCCCACGCACTGCTGGCCCCTGGAATCGCAGTTACGCGTGAACACGGAGTGTGTGCCGATCAAGCAGCGACAGACCTACTTCTACGGTTCCCAACGCAAGTCGAAAGGTCACTCAGAGCCCGTCGACGTCTTCTTGCTCGCACGCACGGGTATAAACCGCGTCGGCCTCATGCACAACGACGAGGGGAAGGGCTTTGTGATAATGGTGCAGATCGTGAAGGTGGTGGGCGTCCAGCGTCTGCTCCGCAAGGTGGTGGAGTCCCCGGATACCCCGACGGCGGAGGAAAGCTTGGAGCGCATCCGTCAGTCCTTCCGCGGATGCTCTGTTGACTCGGACACAGAGGACGGGGAGCTCATGGCAACGGTCACCCGCCTCTCTCTCCGTTGTCCATTGGGCATGACTCCCATCAGAATTCCCGCCCGCGGGACAGACTGCCACCATCTGCAGTGCTTTGACTTGGATACCTTTCTTAGGTACAACGAACGGGGGGCAGCGGCTGGGTGGCGTTGTGGGGTATGTAATATGGTCCTTACCTTGGAGGGTTTGCGGGTGGATGCCTTCATGCGGAATATCCTTGCTCAGATTGAAGCACGGAAGGAGATGAACGAGGATCTGGACTCGATCGAGATCAACCATCAGGGAGAGTGGGAGCTCTTCAATTCCTCTGCAGCTAGCAGCCGGAAGAGGAAAGCGGAAGGCAATGTCGCAGGGGAGGAAGAAGGAAAAGCAGTAAGTGACGGGAAAGTCGTTGATCCTGAGGTCGCTGATGACGACGATGTGGCGCTCTCGGATCTTTGCAAGCAGGTGGCTCGGAAAGAGAACGGGCAGCTCCCGCGTCAAGAGCAGCAGCACGTGCCGCAAGGGCATCACACACAGCAAGAAGTTTTGCAGCAGCAAAAGCAAGCACAGCAGCGTGGGGCGGCCCTCAGAGATCCTGTTGCAATCGACCTAACCTTGAGTAGCGACGATGACGGTGGGGGTGTGT